ATTCCTTTGCCATTTGTCTCCTTTTACTTTCTCACATTCCTTGTTGGTACCCGTACAGTTAACTATTGTTTCTATCATTTCTTCATTTAAGTACAGATGTAATGATTGAGTGGGAGCAAATATATGTGATCTGTGAAGGGAGTTTGGTTTCAAGGTAACTAAGTCATGCCAAATTGAAAATAAAATACTGATAACCCTAAATAAATAGAGCCATTGAAAAAAATATAGTACATACAAACCATACACAAACAGAAATACAAAAATCCACTAAAGTTTATTTTAAAAAAATTTGCTGTGACTTTTATTGCAAAAAATTAAACATTTTATACCAATTTTGACTTTTACGCAGAATGAATAAAGACAAATTTTTATTGCATTGTATTGTAACTTATTGTACTGTATTGTAAATGAAACTTGGCATACACATTAAGAATAACATTGACATAAAGTTTAAAGAAGCTTATCACACAGCAGTTATTGGAAGTGTTACAAATGGCATGTATGTGGGGGGTCACATAAATATTCGAGAACTCTTCAGGAGTAGCAAATGTAAAAATGTTATAAACCTTTTCTAGTTGGATATACCCGGTATATAAAAAAAAAAGCCTCTTGAATTTTGTAAAGAATATCAATGAAAAGAAGCATGCAATGTTTGAAGGCTGTAGCTAGAATACTTTTCCTCCCAATTCATTTGGCGTTCCTAAAAAATCCGGAAAATGCAAAATTGAGAAAAAGAAAAGACAATTATAAAATTGTGGGTTTTTTTTAATTAGAGGGCTGCATGAACGATATAGGATGCATGCACCATGTACATATATCATTCATGAATTAAAAAGCAATTAGAAACTAAGACAGAAAAGATTGAAAAAAAAATTAACACACGAACCTAATTAAAAAAAATACATGAATAAAAAAATTCTGAAAAATTTTCCTTTGAGATATTTGTTTAAAAACCATCCATCATTAAGTAGAGAATGCCAATATAAATAAGCATGCAAAGTTTCAATTATGTAGTTCCAAAACTATTCCTCCTGATTCATCAATTGACGTCAGAAAAAACAATTAAAATGCTATATCGATAAAAGCTGAAAAAGACACTGACAAATGCTTATTTAAAAAATTAAAGGTTACTTGAACAACATTGGATGCATACATCATGAATCATTCCACTCGTTAATTTTAAAAAAAAACAATTTAAGTACATAGATATAATTGATAGAATATAAATGAATGCATTTTCCCAACAACCCACTAGCCTCAAGCCTAATAAAATAATAAGATCATAAAAACTTCGGAATTTTGTTTATGAGACATGTAATAAAAAAAAAACATCAATCATTATGTGGAGAATATAATAGAAAAAACCTTGCAAATTTTGAAGCATGTGGTAATAATACTTTTCCTCATAATACATTTGACGTCAGAGATAAATGGAAAATCCTAAGTGGACCACTTTAAAAAGAGAAAAAAATTCAATTAAGCAATATTAGAAATATAGGAGTCAAATAAAATGAAATTTAAAGCATATCAATGTGAAATCACCATAAAAGATAAGAATTTTCTAAATATTTTTACAAATGTTAAACAATATTGTAGAACATGTTAATGTTTTTTAATAAGAAATCAATAGACTCAGTTTAGGAAACAAAAAGAAATATAATAAAAATGGTTATTTACACAATTTTGTAAAATAATTTTCAGCACATTAAAAACATTTACATATTTATAAAAGTAGCTGAAATCTTTCGGAACCAATCATTGCGAATTAGCAGTGAAAATAAATTTACAAGAACAAGTCAAGAATGACGATTATCTCAGCAAGGCCTTTTCAAACCCAGTTGGCCAGTTGTTGGGTTCAGCTGTCTATGTTCTATATACCAATATTCACTTTTCTGCGTGTTAACTTGTCCGTTGGTTCACTAGTCCTGTGTTTGGATGTGTTATGGTGAGTTGTGGGTTTACTTGTCCTGCGTTCATTTGCGCGGCCACCGCAGTGGACACAAACCATAAAATTTATGCAGCATTAACGATCAGAAATCTGCTTGAAGTAAACCTATACATGGGTAAGCCGCAGCGACTGCGTAGCTGCCCACAGCCTTACTAAACAGAAACATGGCAAGGCCGTGGAGGCCACGTCGCTCTAGCTATGCCGACGTATTACTTTAGTGTATCAGAGAATGACTTTGTTAATCAGCCGGCCAGACCAGGGAAACGGCGCATGGGCAAAAAAAGGTGCGAGGCGAGAGACTCGGCTACGTAATAGAATTCCACCAACAACAGAGACTGAGAGAGCGACCAATGTCCAAGCGTTGGGTGATGTGTTAAGTGTCCTCATAATGAGCAGATCTGGGAAACGTTTCGAGCGGACCAGGGATATGTTGCGATATGTTAACTAGAAAGTTGTGCCACCCACTACCACTAAGTTTAAAAAAAAAACACACAAAAAACTCTACAGCTCGCCGAAAATGCCGCCCTCAATATAAATTATTTAAACAAAAGTGGCACCTGTGTGGACCACCCCTCCACAGCCCCCTTCCTATGCAAGTGGATTGACTTTTTCTCGACAATTGTGAGTCATAGTAGGCAAATAAGCTATTTAAATGGTCTATGGTTGGTCAGCTCTAGTTTGATAGATGGCACTTAATTNTAGTTTTAAGTTACTGTAGCGTATTTGTGTGGGGAGCGAACGGATAGGACATCAGCTTAGTTACTTTCTCTTTACTTTAATAAATATTTGGTCTATTTTTGTCTAAAAAAAAATTATCCAATCAATCGGGGGGGGGGGAGACCCCCTCCCCCCACCCCTGCGGGCGCCCATGGCTGGTCAGCTCTAGTTTGATAGATGGCACTTAATTATTTAGATGCCAGCTAAGTTGACTCTGGTTTGTGGTGAGTAATATGACAGGCAGTGTTAGTGATTTTATGTATCTGGATGGAACCAAATTGCTCTGTTATTCGTCTGTTTGCAATGGTGTTTATTTCGCTACTGACATATATTTCATTACTTTCCCGCTTTTCGCCTCTTAGTCTTAGTAAATCACCAGCTATTTATCGAGAAAGAAATCGAAACTGTCACAAATTTTAAGACAGGACATTGACAATTTTATTTAAAGTTTTAATAAATATTTCCCACATAACCCCCAACCATGGGCGCCCGCAGGTAGGGGCAAGGGGGGGGGGCACTTGCCCCCCTGGATTGATTGGATAAAAAAAATTAGACAAAAATAGACCAAAAATGTATTAAAGTAAAGAGAAAATAAAGAGAAAGTAACTAAGCTGATGTCCTGTCCGTTCGTTCACCATACAAATATGCTACAGTAAATTAAAACTATATTAAAACATTACTGCAAATTTTGTGCCCCCCCCCCTGGAAAGTTAATCGATTTTTTGCCTCCCCCCCCCCCTAGAAAGTTTTCTGCGGGCGCCCATGCCCCCACCCTCAAAATTCGAGCCGCGTTTTGTCCGAAATTGATGCACAACCGTGTAAAGGAAAAGCAGCGCCCTGGGCGAATGCGCCCCCTGATATTGAGGTCCCTTGCGAGTACCACCTTTACATTGCTGTGCATGGATCCAGTGGGCTAGAAAGAAATATCAAAGTAGATAGATATATAATAATGTTAAAAAATGTATTTAAATCTAACTATATCCAATTGGGCAACTTTTATAACGTATCTTTGAAGACAGAAGAGTTCTACTTGTTTTTGCCACAATGGCGTCGTAAATGACAAAAGATTCGTGAACTGTAGGCTACCTTTTTTTTTATCTTGTTCAATTTTGTTAAATGGTAAATTGTACATGAACAAAAAGACGCTATTTTAGGCCTTTAGTTCCATCAGGTAAAGAGGAAGTTTTAATTTTATATCACTAGAAATAATTAATCGCGCTTAAATTTCATTGCCTTAAGTTTAAGTAGGCACTTTGAGTCAATTGAATTGAGTGACTTTGATTATGAATAGAAAATTAAAACTTTTTGTAAAAATAAACCAATGGCATAGTTGAATAAAGCTAATTTTTTAAAGAATTATAACACCAAAATCATATTTTTAGCTGTTGTTGTTTTAAAGTTATGAATTTTAAAGTATGACTTAATTTGTCCTTTTTTAACATGGACTGCAT